AGCGTAGGATGCGCTTGACGGCCTGCAGATGCTCCACCGTCGGCCGCTCCATGAACCAGCTCACATACCCGACGACGAATGCAAGGTCCAGCCGGGTATGGACCAGGTAGCGCAAGCTCCCGATCAGCCGCCGGTAGTGGGTCGGATCGACCGCCTCCGTCGTGCTGTCCCAACTCAGCTTGAGCTTCTCCTCCATCGGAGTGTAGGCTGGATTGCAGCCTGCCATGCCGCTGAGCTCGAGGACGCGCTTGGCGTAGTGGGTTTGGCGGAGGGCGATCCTGCTGGCGTCCTAGCGCACATCGATGTCGAGGTAGAAGCAGAGGAGGCCGAGGTCGTTCATGCCGAACACAATCTTCATCTGCGCCTTGAATGCCTCCACCTTATGCTCTTCAGTGCTGGTGATGATGAGGTCATCGACGTAGACGCCGACCAGTAGGATATTACGTCCGCTGCCCCGCTGGTACACCGACGCCTCGTGCGCGCTCTACTTGAAGCCCGTCTTCTTGAGCGTGGCATCGAGCTTCGCGTTCTAGGTACGTGGGGCTTGTCGCAAACTGTAGAGGGCCTTGCGCAGGCGGTACACTTTGCCTTCTTCTCCGGCGACGGCGAAGCCCGGTGGCTGACGCACGTACACCTCCTCCTTGAGGTCGCTGTTGAGAAAGGCAAACTTTATGTCCATGTGGTGGACCTGCCACCCCTCTTGAGCCGCTAGCGCGAGGAGGACACGGACTGACTCCATGTGCGCCACGGGGGCGAAGGCGTCGTCGTAGTCGATCCCCTCTTGCTGGACGCAGCCGCGCGCTACCAGCCACGCCTTGTGCTTGATCACCGCGCATTGCTCATCCTTCTTGAGCTTGAACACCCACTTCAGGGTGATGGGGCAGTGGCTGTCGGCCAATGGCACCAACTCCCAGTTGCGGTTCTACTCGACGGACTTGAGCTCCTGCTCCATCGCCGTCCGCCACGCCGAATCACCTTGCGCCTCAGCATAAGTGGTCGGCTCACCGGCGTGCGTTAGATGAAGCTGGGCGAAGAGCCGCTCTGCCTAGTCTAGTGAAGACTGTTCACCGAGGATGTTCGCCACCGTGTAGTACCGGAGGGGCTCATTGTCATAGGCGTCCAGGTGGTCTTCATCATCCTCTAGCGGCATCGCGTACTCGATCTCCAGCTGCTCTGCGTGCACTGGTGTCGCAGCGAGTGAAGAAGATGCCGCAGTGGTCGGCTGTGATGCCGGAGTGTGGTCCGCTGCGGTGTTGGAGTGGTCAGCTGAGGTGCCGGAGTGGTTCGCTGCGGTGTTGGAGTGGTCAGCTGCGATGTTGGAGCGGTCGGCTACGGTGCCGGTGTGGTCTGCGCCGCTGCCGATGAGCTTCCGACCGCTGCTGATGAGTTTCCGAGCTTCCCCGGATTTGGTGATGGCGAGCGCGGTGGTGCAGATGAGGTGGTCGGCGCTGGTGTTGATGACCTGGACGTCGATGAGGATGTACCTTGTGCTCCTCTAGCACCTGCAACCCATGCGTACTCGACGGTGAAATCACGGAGCTCTACTGCCGACCTGTCGTCCACCGCCTTGTCCCACGACCAGCCGTGTCCTTCATCGAACATGACGTCGCGCGCCACGCGCACGCGTCGTGTCGTCGGGTCGAGCACGCGGTAGGCCTCAGCCCCCTCTGCGTAGCCGATGAAGACTCCAAGCGAGCTGCGATCGTCGAGCTTGGCGACGTGGTTCAACTCCTTGACGAAGGCGAGGCAGCCGAAGATGCGCAGGTAGCTGACCGCCGGCTTGCGCTCATGCCAGGCCTCATACGGCTTCTTGCCATCGAGCGCCTTGGTCGGCGAGCGGTTGAGCAGGTGCACGGCGGTCCTCACGGCCTCACCCCAGTAGATCGCTGGCATGCCACGCTGCTTGAGGAGGGCGGCGCCGCTACCACCATCGTTTGATTGCGGCGCTCGGCCACACCGTTCTGCTGCGGTGAATATGGCGTTTAGTGGCGCTGAACCCGTTCATCGGTGCGGTACACCGCGAGCTCAGCCGCCATGAACTCAGCCGTTGTCCGTGCGGAGCACCCGGAGCTTGCGGCCGCATTCCTTCTCCGTAGCTGCCTAGTGGTGCTTGATGGCGTTCGCAGCTGCTGAGTCGAGCAGCACGGCCCACATGTAGCGAGTGGCGTCGTCGATGGGCAGTAGGAAGTAGCGGCGTCCTCCAGGCGTGGCCGATGACACAGGACCACATAGGTCACCATGCACCAGCTCGAGCTTCTCAGTGGTGCAGTAGGAGGCTTGACGCGTGAAAGGCCGGCGCTTCTGCTTGGTCACCACGCAGGTGTCGCAGAGCTGCTCGACGTGGTCGATGAGGGGCATGCCGCAGACCATCTCCTCCTTGCCGAGCTGCTTCAGGTCCTCGAAGTGAAGGTGCCCGAAGCGCTCATGCCAGCGCCATGCCTCGTCGTCCCGACACGCGGCAAGGCAGAGAGGATGCGCTACCTGCACATGAAGCACATAAAGGTGGTTGTTTCCCCAGTTCACCTTGGCGAGAGGACGGCGGCTTCTATCCCAGATGCGTAGCACGCCGTCCTCGATCTCCACTCGTGATCCATTCTCGTCCAGCTGTCCGACGCTGATGATGTGGTTCCTCAAGGCCAGGATGTAGTACACGTCGGTGAGAAGGCGGTGCTCCCCTGTCTTGGCCTTGAAGATGACCGAGCCAACTCCCTTGATCTCAACGGCGGAGGCATCGCCGAACTTGATGGAGCCCTCCACGTTGGAGAAGAACTCGCGCCGACCGGTCATGTGGTGCGTAGCACCGGTGCCGAGGTACCAGCCGTCGATCTTGTTGTCACTCGTACCGTTGCCGAGGAAGGCGTGAGCACGCGGTTCGTCGAGGTGGAGCAGGGCAGAGCCAGCCGATACGAGAAGGGGAAAGATTGAACTTTTCCTCCCCTACCCTGTTTCTAGCTGCAGCTCGACGCACCCATGCACCGGGAACAGGGCATCCTCCTCCTCCTGCTTGCGCGACGTGAGCCTGCCCACCGTGGCGTGGAGGAAAGCAGCAGTCCTTGGCCCAATGGCCGGACTTGCCACAGTTGAGGCAGGTGTCATCCCGGGTTGCCTTGCACTCGCAGGCGGCACCACCATCAGCACCAACCTGTGCCCGGGGTCCTTTCTCCTCCTTGCCACCACGTGGACGCCGGCGACGTTCCTTGGAGGAGCCAGACGAGCCGGAGCCTTCCTCCTTCTTCTCGAAGGCACGCCACTGTTCCATGGTGTACAGCAGCTTGCCTCCGGCGGCGCCCGGCTCGGCGTGAGGTCCCTCCTCGCAACCTTGCACAGCCTTGAGCCTCCCGGTCACGTCCTCGATGGAGAGCTACTCAAAATCGAGGAGCGTCTCTATCGCCATCACAATTAGGGAGTACTTCCTCGGCATGCAGTGGAGGAATTTCTCCACCGCGTGCTCCTCTGTGAGGTCGGTGTCGCCATTGCATGCCATCTGCTCCATCAGATTGGTCAGGCGGAGGGCAAAGTCCTCAACTTGTTCACCAGGCTGAAAGGCGAGGCCTTCCCACTCTTGCCGGAGTCGCTACAGAGTCGCCCAGCGGACACGATCACCGCCGATGCGCGTCGTGGCGATCGACTCCCACGCCAGCTTCGTCGTAGCCTTGTTGGCGAGGGAGGCGCCAAGCTCGGTGGGGACGGCAGCGCACAACGCCTCCAGTGCTTGGCGATCATCGTCGTAGCCAACGCCGCCAACGTGGACCGCCTCCCAGAGGTGCCGAGCCTGCAACTTTACCTTCATTAGAAGTCTCCACATGTGGTAGTTCGACTTGGTGAGCATCGGCCATGGCGTCCCCGCTCCCGAGTAGCGGTAGACGGTCTGTACCACCGGTAGCGCCACCGGAGTGCAGCCGCGGCGTCCACGGCGCCGCTCTGGTGATGGCGACTGAGGACGGCGCCCTGCTGGGCTTCGCGATCCGCCCGCCGGCTCCCGCTCCATCTTGATGCGCAGCGCTGCGGCCGCGGTTGTCGCGGCTTGTGCCGCAGCCGCCGCCTGCCTGGCCGTTTCGACCGCCGCTGCAACTGCTACCTCTGCGGCAGCAAGGCACGCAGCGCGACCGTCGGCTCCTCCCGCTGCTGAACCGCCGGGGTTGATCACCGCACCGGCAGCAGCGGCGGCGGCGCGCTGTCTCTTGATCTGGCTGGCGGTGGACATGGATGCTCACTCAAGAACCCTAGGCTCCGATAGCAATTGTGGGCCCAAATAGATCTCAGATTCAGATTTGAGAACTACTAGAGGACAGCTTGGCCTTTGGCCGCTTGTTGGAATTGGAAATGCAATGGCTTCAGTTCTTACAATATTACCGCCCCTGCTTTTATAGGCAAAGGGCCTCTCTACATGCTCCAGCATATTCTATCCACTAAAGTGGATGCTGAGCATATTCCTATTACAAGGTTTGGAAGCCAAGGAAAGTAAATTGCAGAAAAGTAAGATATAAGTGCTTTGACACTAGGCTTATCTATCATAGGACATGCCACCAAGTCATTTATCTTTGGTGCCTTTAGCAATAAGAATGAGCTGAGTGGATCCATTGTTCAAAGATTTGAGTGGTATGCAGATGGTGCTAGCGATTTCTTGAGATTCATGGAGCTTGGTGGCACTCCACGCCATATGATGCCCTTGAACCCTCTTATCAAAATCCTTTTTACAGGCAAGAAGCTACAACATAAAATCAGTCTGGGAAATGAGTGCACCTTTTTTCTACTATGGATACCCTTCAGTGCTACAGAGCATGAAATAGAAGCTAGCCTATTCTTTCTCCACAAAGATGGCAATGCACCAGAGAATAATTTTTACTTTAGTGTCATGCTACAACTTTCAGAGAGTATAGATATAGTCGGAATTGCAGTAAACTGCTTGCAGTTGTTTACCCCTCTTTTCAAGTCTACAGTTGAAATTATTAGGAATAGACTTGTGGAGCTGCCTACACAAGACTTCAGATGGGCACCATATGTCGATTCACCGCAGAAAGAACATTGGGACAATCATCACAGATTTTGCACTCGATGGTTTCGCCCAGACCCATTATGTTGCAAGCAACTTGATCAGCATGTGCTGTAGTAGCAAAGCAGACATGTCAAAATTACCAGATCTTGCTCTACAGCCAGTCATTGAAGTGAATTTGCAGTCCTATGTCTCACTGCCTGTCAGCAAAATTCCTCCACTAGGTACACGACACCTGATAGCTGGACTCCACTTTATGCCCCATGGCTCTTCAAAAGACCAGCTGCTTGCAGATAAAAGCTCTGCAATAGCAGTGACCGAAAGCAAGGGGCAGCAGTGCTTGCATACAGACATTACCTTGGAACAGCTGGAAAAAGTCATGCTGCAAAAGGCAATATATCACTTCCAGCGGAACGCCGAAGCAACAGTCTACCAGATGCTTTGGAAGTATGAACATAATACTGCATATATTCATGTTGAGAAGGCTAGCTCGAAGATGCAAAGCACAGGAAAATTGATTTGGGGTTCTGGGAAAGGAAAGATCTCACGTGGACAGGTTCAGACATATGTTATCCCTCACTTCCTCAACATGTGGGTTGCACAGGCACCCCTCTGGCTGCAAGGCTTGATTGGAAACTGGGTTCTCAAAGAAGCGCCTGAAATCGCAAATCATGGTGCAGCATGGATCCATAATAGGAGGGAGCAATAGAAGAATGGAAATGGAGTTTTCTTGCGCTACTCGTTTGGCCTGTATTGTAAACTCTATTATTTCTTTTTATTGGAAATATATGCAGCTCCCCTGCATATTCTTGTAAAGGAAATGGCATTTTCTGGGGAGTAAACTGGATCTGAGTATTTCTGACTGAAGACATATATGTCAAAAAATCAAAGTAGATGATCCCTTAATTTGGTTCGTTAGTTCAAGGGAATAAAGGATCACAGAAGGAGCCCCCATGTTTGAGTTAGTTTGGGTCAGAATGGATCTTCTACTACAAATGTGGCTATGTTGGAGGAATCCTCCATTTGGTTTGATGTCAGCCTCTGAAGTATCATTGCATTTGTAGTCTACCATATATAGATACATATTTTTTTTTCGGGGATACATAGATACATATTGTTCCCCATTTTTTTGGTCCCCAATAATTAATTCCTCGTCTGCAAGAAATTCTTTATAAAGGCTGATATATATGTCTCATCCACTAGCAAGTACCAACAACAGTGCAGCGCTTTCAAGGTATGCATCTTACATGTGTAGACTTTTCTGACTTCTGAACACCCTATACACCACTGTCAAATGAAAAATCGTCAAGTTGTAGTATGTCACTTTGCTCGCTGGTCGTTGACAGTTACAACACCACCTCCATGTGATACATAATTATGTGGCAGGAGATGGCACACATCAGGCTGGAGGCTGCTTGCCTTTTTGAGATGTCTAATAAGTGGCAGGTCACTGCTGCATCCTTGTTGCGATGCTGTAAAATGCTGAAGGGTGCTGCACAAGATGCGATGACAGGCTGCACAAATGCAAGCAGAGAATCCTAGAATGTAACTGATGGCAGCTGTCAGAGTTTTTCCATTGCAGTGACTCCTTCGTCCCCACCCCTGACTGCCAAATCGCTACTCATGACTCGACTAGTACTCCTCTTTCCTCATCGCTATCACCGTCGATATGCCAGCAATCCCCCCATCCTGATCACTATCTGTTGAGCAGTTCCCAAGTAGGATGGTCACGGCAGATAGTAATACTCCAGTAAGGTGCTAGCAAGGTATGATATTTTCTCTGATACCCACATGTTTCATTTCCACCACTAACTAATCACTTCTCCTTATAGTGCTACTCTGTCCCCTTCCTGATTTCCTGTACAGAACAGGTGAATTCGGAACTCCTGAGAGGAGTCTGCATAAGCGATCCTCATGGCGGACATGGTGGCTTCAGCCCTATGTATGATGCTGCATTAATCAAAGGCCTTCATGTCACTTTGCTCTCCAATCAAACACATCATTTACAATGGCACCCTCTTAATCATTTGATGTGGTGGCGACTGTTATGCGGACCTTGTTTGAATAATGATACATTGATGGTCTTCACGTCACTTCACTCCCAAGCTGCAGACAGGTAAAGGACGAAACCCCCACCCCACAAAAAAAAAAAAAAACTGTAGGTTTGGAAAACATTGAGGCACTTCGATATAACAAACCTTGTGGTTTTATTTTTAAAAATTAATATTATATTGCTAACAACTACATCAGATGGAGTTTAGCAAATCCACACATGGTCTCCTCCTCCCCCCCCTAATGTGTTTTTTTCACATCTCTTGTTCCTAATGCTATAGCTACATGATACCAACCAGGGTTTTCTGAAACAAAAATATCCAAACTTGACCTGTTAAACTTTTCACCATCTCATTCACGCTGGCCAGTTATGTTCAGACACATAATGAAGCGAAACAAATGTTCCTGTCAGGGATGACACCTTCGGTCATGCCGTCACCACCCCCGTATCCGACGAAGAGTCTGTTAGATAATCTACTGCTTCCTTGTATGAATAGATAGTAAGGGAAGTCGGCATCGAAAAGGCCCCCTGTTGTGGTACTGTAGCCGCTACAGAGGCAGGCGCCGAATGGCTCACCTTCCGCACTGTAGCCACATGTAGGGACAGTCGCAGAAGTCAGTCCTGCTGTGTTATCTAGTCACTGTTACAGCAGGGCAGCTGTACTAGTACTAGATGTATAGAGTTGTATAAATAGGCTGCCATGGCAAGTCAGTAAAGAGAGTTCAGATTTGCCATCTCCTATACAGGGCTTCGGTCAATGCTGGTGCCTGTACTGTGTGTGTATGTTATGTTCTCCCTCTTCTTCAATCTCTAGCCATAGTGTGTGGGGACGGACAACGCTTGTTCGTAGTCGGCTTAGTTAGTGGGTGCTCGGCAAAACTAACGGGTGCTCGGCAAGACTGGTGAGTGGTTCACTCACCTGAGCCGGTGATCCTATGGGCTAACAAGTGGTATCGAAGCCGTACAAGCGTCGTCGCTGGACTCCCACGTCGCACAAGATCGGGTGTGACCGGCGCGTTGCTCCAGTGCATCAAGGATAAGACCACTCCGTTGACCATGCCGCCACAGTAGCAAGCTACAGGACTCAGACACGCCACCTCCGCTCACAAGACGCTGCATAGCAAACGCATGTATCGCCCCTGCCCCCCTTTAACTATAAAAGGAGAGACCGGGGCTGTTTCTAGGGGGGCGAAAGATAGACGAACTGACGCATAGGCTCACGTAGATCCAGACACACGCTTCCCCGCTACCTGATAGCAACGTCTCAAGCAGCCTACACCGCTCCATGTAGAGACCTGGGACTAGCTCCCTCTCTCGCCCAGCTTGTAACCCTCTACTACAAGCACTTCGGTGCAAGGAATACAAGATCGATCTCTCAGACTGGACGTAGGGCACCGATTGCCTGAACCAGTATAAACCTTGTGTCTCTTTGCATCACCATCCGGGATTAGGGGCACGCAATTCAAATTCACTAGTTGGTCGAGGACCCCCCGGTCCGAAACACCGACAGTTGCGTACTGCGCGGATTAGGGTGTGGTGCGACACCACACCACACCGTACTCACCACAACAGAATGGCGTGGTGGAGCGACGGAACTAGACGGTGGTCGGCCTGGCCTGATCCATGAAGGCCAAAGGCATGCCGGTAAGGTTCTGGGGTGAGGCGGTGACTACGGCGGTGCTCATCCTCAATCGCACTCCGACCAAGGCCCTGACGGGCAAGACGTCGTTCGAAGCTTGGTATAGACGCAAGCCGAGCGTGTTCTTCCTATGAACATTCGGCTGCATCGGCCACGTCAGGAAGACGAAGCCAATCCTCACCAAGCTGGAGGACAGGAGCACACCGATGGTGTTCCTAGGCTACGCGGAGGGTACCAAGGCGTACCGGCTCTACGACCCACGCGGAAACAAGGTGCTTGTCTCGCGCGACGTCGTGTTCGACGAGAAGGCGGCTTGGGACTGGAGGAGTCCGAGCACGGGGGAAGCAGGCAGCTTCATCAGCACCTTCGTCGTCGAGCACTTGGTCATCCACGGCGGTGGAGAGGCTGGGGAAGAGGTGCCGAGCACTCCTGGGGCAGTGCCGAGCACTTCGGGAGGGATGCCGAGCACTCCGGCAGGAGTGCCGAGCACTCCTGGAAGGATGCCGAGCACGCTAGGAGTGGTGCCAGGACGTTCTACAGTGGTGGCGACCACTACAGGACGGGGGCCGAGCACTCCCGTGGCAGAGCCAAGAGGTTTTGTAGTGGTGCCGACCACCCCAAGACTGAGGCTGAGCACTCCTACAGAGGTGCTGAGCACTGCAGGAGTAGTGACGATCTGTCCAGAAGTAATGCCGAGTGTTTACACCAAAATTTGGAAGAAGAGTCACGGGGACTCAAAAGCTCAAAAGATCATGTCATCAAGGAATCAATTGTGTGCAGATCGGAACCAGCTGATTCAATTGCAACACTGGAATCGGCTTTCTTCGAGTAGCGCCGGCAGATAACGGCAAAAGCTACGATCGGCGCCGGGACAAAGCATGTTGGACTCTACAAAAAGGGAAAGATTAGAGTCCAAGTTATCTTAAATTAGGAATGTTTTCTCTAGGGACAAAGATTGTGATGAGTCGTGCTTAGATAGGAGTCATGTGTAGGTCCCAGGTATAAATATCAAACTCCGGCTATTGTAAAAAAAGACACACAATCAATCAAATACAAGTTACTTACTTTTTTCGGCTCCAACCACCCCTTAGGAGTAGGAGTAGAGTAGATCTCAGCGAGTTCTTCAGCAAGTATAGCTGCATCGATCCGGTCGACCTCCACTGCTTGTCTATAAGTACCGCCATGGCTTATACCTCTGTTCGTACGGCTGCATCGATCCGGTCGACCTCCACTGCGACTCTGGTATAAGTTAGTTATCGACTCTTGTCTAGTTCAAGTACGGCTGTATCGATCTGGTCGACCTCCACTGCTCGAACTAGATTAAGGTCAAGTTATCGGCTCTATCTAAGGGTGTTGTTCCTTTGGATAGATTCATTATGTTACCGATATTGCTTATTGCTTCCCTTATTTATTTAATTACAGCAATATCACTTCGCCCGATTGGGATTGATTTAGATCGGCCTTATATCCTTTTTAACCCATTGTTTGTTAATCTAAACTGATCTAATCTGCACTTTAAACGATGAGTTATATTTTATCGGCTATTTTATATCAATCTTGATCGTGTATAGCATGCGGTTAAGGCATGTCCGATCTTGAGTAGATCTATTGGCTAGCGAAAACTGTTCCATGGCCCGTTATCACGGCCTGTGTGATTCTGCCTCACACCCCACTGTTAGCACCGTAGAGTGGGGATCGTTATTTGGTAGATCTGTTCCTAAGAGGGCATGATCTTAACTGTGCACTATGCCTGAATCGGCTGTTTTAGCCGATATCGAGTGCTTTCACGAACAGTTCACGTAACAAGACCGTTGAAGTAGAGATAGGTTGAAAGATATGTTAGCCCCATGATCTTATTATTGTATTACGGCCTGCATGATTCTGCCTCGTGCCCCACTGATATTAGCAATAAGTTAGGGTTGTCGAGTCTATTGTTGTTTCTACGGCCTGCATGATTCTGCCTCATGCCCCACTGGTCATAGCGATAGATGAGATCTAACATGTTCATTAGATTTATCTCTATTAAATGGTTGAATGATGATGAACTGTTTCTTTTATAAAGGGGTTCGGTTACTTGCAGTCATTGGCTCAGTATAAACTAATTATTGTTAATATCTTGTTGTCATTGACCAATATTTATCTAAAGAATGATATTCATCCTAAAAGATAACCGATTCTTCTTACATAACCCTATGAGCTTTAACTGATTTATTCTTATGAATATGCTGGAATCGACTATTTAGTCGATCTCCTTTCATATCGGCTCTCAGAGCCGCACATTCGGGACTGTGTAGCAACACCGGCATGTTCCGCTCTAAATTACTGATAAACTTTCTCTTCTTGTCAATTGCAGGGTCCAATTGACTATCACGTCTTGGGAGGAGTGCGCAGGATCGACCACCCCTGTGCTGAAGCTAGGCGGATCTCTAGCTCCATCGAGCGGACCCTTCCGGCTTGCTCGTGTGCCCTCGACACAGGACGAAAATTCCATGTTGACACCGAGCACTGCAACCAGTGTGTCGAGCACCCTAGGTGCTGTGCCGAGCACTCAGGCGGAACAGGGAACTCCATCAACACTGATCGAGTTTGCCTCACCTCCAAGTAACATCACTGAGTTCGTGGATGCCTTCCACAAAGGTGAGGAGGTGCAGTTCCGCAGGCTGGATGACATCATCGGCAGCACAGGGCCCTCAGGACTGGTTGGTCAGCTGCTCAATGATCAAGAGTTGCTGCTCATCAGTGCAGAGGAACCACCCATGTTCGCACTGGCCGAGCGCGACGAAAACTGGCGACGGGCGATGCTGGAGGAGATGAAGGCGATCGAAGAAAACGAGACTTAGCAGCTCGTCGATCCACCTCCAGGATGTCGTCCGATCAGCCTGAAGTGGGGGTACAAGGTCAAACGAGACGAGCTCGGCGCCATTGTAAAGCACAAGGCACGCCTCATCGCTCAAGGCTTTGTTCAGCGCAAGGGCATAGACTTCGAGCAGGTCTTTGCGCTAGTAGCGCACATGGAGTCGGTCCGTTTGCTACTAGCCTTGGCAGCAGCAAAGGACTAGCATGTCCATCACCTGGACGTTAAATCGACTTTCCTCAACGACGAGCTGGCAGAGATAGTCTTCGTCAGGCAACCTCCAGGTTTCACCATCAAGGGAGAGGAGCACAGGGTGCTCCGACTACGCAAGGCGCTCTACGGGCTGCGGCAGGTCCCACGAGCATGGAACGCCAAGCTTGACACCACGCTGGGCGAGCTTGGGTTTCAGCGATGCGCAACCGAGCACGCGCTCTACACATGGCGACGGGGAAGGAGGAGCTCGTCATCGGCGTGTATGTGGATGACTTGATCGTCACCGGCGCGCGCACGGAGGCCATCAATAGCTTCAAGCGCGAGATGGCGACTCGTTTTCGAATGAGCGATCTTGGAGCACTCTCCTACTACCTCGGCATCGAGGTGAGACAAGGGAAGGAGGAACTCACGCTCGGTCAGAGTACGTATGCCTCCAAGCTGTTGGAGCGGAGCGGCATGGCTGAGTGCAAGCCATGTGTGACTCCGATGGAGGAGCGACTGAAGCTGATGAAGGCTAGCGCCGCGGTGAAGGTGGATACAACACTCTATCGGAGCATCGTCGGCGGTCTACGCTACCTAGTCCACACAAGGCTGGACATTACGTTCGCCATGGGCTACGTCAGTCACTTCATGGAAGATCCCAGAGAGGATCACTGGGCTACAGTGATGTGGCTACTATGCTACGTCAAGGGGACGGTGGATCAGGGGATCATCTTTCGCAAGACTGGCGGGAGTAGGCTGCAGCTCACTGTGTTTAGCGATGCAGACATGGCGGAGGACATCGACGGACGACGGAGCACCTCTGGTGTGCTCGTCTTCCTTGGGTCAGCCCCAATTTCAAGGCTGTCGCTGAAACAGAAGGTGGTGATGCTATATACGTGCGAGGTAGAGTATGTAGCGGCGTCCACAGCGGCATGCCAAGTTGTGTGGCTGCGCTGGCTACTGGGCGAGCTGACCGGCATGGAAGCTCACCCACCAGCACTGATGGTGAACAACTAGCCCGCCCTCGCCCTCGCGAAGAATCCGGTTCTACACGACCGGAGCAAACACATCAACGTGAAGTTCCACTTCCTCAGGGATTGTATCGATGGAGGGCAGATCATCATCGACTTCATCAAAACTGGTCGGCAACTCGTGGACGTCCTCACCAAGCTGCTCGGACGTCTTCGACTCTCGGAGCTGAAGGAGATGATCGGCATGGAGGTGGTACAAGAGATAGCAGTAGGATTATGGGAAGAATTGTTAGATAATCTACTGCTTCCTTGTAAGAACACACAGCAAGGGAAAAGGCGCCCTGCTGTGGTACTGTAGCCGCTGCAGAGGCAGGCGCCGAACGGCTCACCTGCCGCACTATAGCCACATGCAGGGACAAGCGCAGAAGTCAGTCCTGCTATGTTATCTAGTCATTGTTGCATCAGGGCAGCGGTACTATGACTAGATGGATAGAGTTGTATAAATAGACTACCACGGCAACTCAGTAAAGAGAGTTCATATTTGTCATCTCCTATACAAGGCTCCGGCCAACGCTGGTGCCTGTACTGTGTGTGTATGCTCTGTTCTCCCTCTTCTTCAACCTCTAGCCATAGTGTGTGGGGACGGACAACGCTTGTTCGTGGTCGGCTTAGCTAGTGGGTGCTCGGCAACACTAGCGGGTGCTCGGCAAGACTGGTGAGTGGTTCACTCACCTGAGCCGGTGATCCTGTGGGCTAACAGAGTCTCTATGCATTTTTTTTGAGGTTGTAGGGACAAGAGGCGAAAAGGTCAAAGTACCTTGGACCTCCTGTCTAAAGGAGCACCTTCGCGCTCCTGCCCAAGAAAGTACCTTCGCGCTGCAGTCACCGAGAAGCTCCAGGGCAGCGATGTCCATCGCCGACGGGGTCCAGCCCATGAAGAAAGACTACGCCAGACATGGCACGTCATAGAGCCTATAGTAGGTGATTCCGTGATTTGAAAAGGCTAAAATGCCCGGAGACCATTCTTTCTTCCTATAAATAGCCCCCTAAGCTGTTGGTAACAAAAGACATATGGTCCACTTTATTATGTTATTGTTCGATCCATACTTTGTGCGTTGATGTCTCCCACCTCTTGATTCAAGCGAGGATCTGAACCCAACACTTCTCAATTTAGGATTGTGCCCCTATGAAGATTAATTCTTCACAACCCTTGCTATTAGTCCCATAAATGTTCATGACCAGTCTACCTGTCTTGATGAAATGACTCTCCTTATTAATGACCTGCCTATAAGTTCTGGTCTTATATTCTTCCACAGTTCAATTTAGCATCCACAATATTGCTCTCTGTACCCAGCATAGCTGTCCGGATGTCCACACTTTTAATGCAGTTTGGTAGAAGGTACATTCTTACAACCACATAGCTAATCTTTGCTTCTGATGCAAGCTGATATACCTAATCTCTTATGCATACTTTTATTTATTGATTTTTCTTAACAGGGAAGAAAAGCTATAGATTCCTGAATCCTGATGACTGAGATGGTCAGTTCTGCAGTTATCCAGGAGTCATTTAGCCAAATACTATCGGTCCTAGTTAAAAAATATGATGACAAAGAGGAAATAAATGGAATCAGAAACATAGAGAGGCTAGAGATGGCACACATCAGGCTGAAAGCTGCTCTTGAGACTTCTAATAAATGGCAGATCACTGATACATCCATGTTGCGTTGGCAAAAGAAGCTGAAGCGTGCAGCACAAGAGTGTGATGAGAAACTGCACAAATGTAAGCAGAGAATCCTTGAAGAAGAACGCATGGAACAGGAGGTATGGAATTCCTCCATTCCTAAACGGATTGGACATGCTACCAAGTCATTTGTTTTCTCCATCTTTAACCGCAACAACGACGATGAGTTGGACCCATCTGTTGTTAAACGATTTGAGTGGTATGCAGATGGTGCTAGTGAATTCCTGAGATTCATTGAGCTTGGTGGCACACCACTTTGTCACATCATACCCTTTGGCTCCCTTATCAAGAATCTTTTTGCAGGCAAGGAACTTCACCATAAAATTGTTCGAGGAAGCCAACAGCCTTTGTGTCAACTATGGTTGATCCCCTTTAGTACTGCAGAGCAAGGAACAGAGGTTGCCCTATTTTTTATCAGGAAAGATGGTACAATAGAGGGTAATATCTACTTTAGTATGATAGTGCAACTTTCAGAAAGTACAAACATAGTTGGGATTGCAGCTAGGAGTTTGCAGTTGTTTGCCCCTCATGTCAGATTTATAGTTTAAAATATTACCAACGAAGTTATTCAACTACCTACTCAAGACTTCTCATGGGCACCATTTGATTATTCATACCACAGAGAACATTTGTACAATCTTCACAACATTGCATCTCAATGGTTTCGCCTAAAACCATTATGTTGCAAGCAGTAGCAACACCATGAGGTTCCACATTTTAGCAACCTAAACATGGCAGGATTATCAGATGTTTCCCTAGAACCATTAATTGAATTTAATTTACAGTGGCAAGTCTCACATTCAGTTTACAGCAAGCGAAAGACCTCACTATCTGAAGGCCCAATGTCTCTGCAAAATTCTCCATATCTGAAAGCTGGAATTGCTTTTGCACCCCATGTCTCTTCTGAAGACATGCTACCACTGAATAAAAGTTCTAAAACAGTAGAGATAGTTGGTGGTCAGCAACATGTCTTGCATACGGACATCTCCTTGGAGCAACTGGAAGAGATTATGCTAGCAAAGGCCATAGATTACTTCTGCCACACTGGCGAAGCGTCCGTATACTGAATGATTTGGAGGTCTAAACATGGGGCTGCAAGGATTCATGTTGAGAAGCCAAGCATAAACACACGGAGAACAAGCATGAGAGCACATAGAACATTTGGGGGCCTACAAATAGAAAGTGGCTTCGAGGATAGGATCAGAAGATTGGGAACTTTCTAGGTGTGCTCACTCACTTCCTCGACTTATGGGGTGCCCTATTGGCGGTCCTTAACTCACATTTTTAACCGCCAACATTTATATAAAATCCATCCAAATGAACACCAAACATAGAAATAGGGTTCATAACTAACAAAGTTCCACAAGTTTTGGTGATTCATCAATTGCAGGAGGACATGTCCTGATAACACAAGAATTGTGTCAAAAGTACACAAAGAACAAGGCGTAACATCACCCGACATGAGCCCAAGGGTAGAAGGCCTACTTACTAGGCAAATCAGGGCCTAGTGAGGTGGAGAAAAAAGGCCAAAACACATATCAAATCAACTCCAAACGGTGCAAAACTTTACAGGACCCACCTAGAGGCCCAAAGGAAGCATCCCACCAAAGATGGGGTCATTTGGGCCCAGTTGAGGTGTGGGCGCACCACCACCACTGGGGCCTCTCGGGCCCATCTTTTGCGTGTTGACATATGCCGCCTTACCCACGTTGGTTCCCAGGGTGTCGTCCAGGTTCAGTGCACCTAGATGGCGGTTTGGAGGTTGGTTTGGTGCTTTCCATGAGGGGATGAAGCATTTTCCAAGGAACCCCCTCCTCTCCACCTATAAAAGGAGGCCTCTCCCCTCCTCATTGGATCATCAAGGAAGAAACATCAACACAAGAGAGCACAATGTAGCAAGAAGAGAAGAAGAGCCACACTCTTATCTTAGCTTCTAGCTAGTTCTAGTGTAGGGAGTGAGAGAGTAAGAGTGGAGAAGTACCGGAGTTGTTGACTACCTCCACTAGTGTACTCGGGGCCACTTGTACATTTAGCGGAAGGAATGTCGGGAATCGTTGGCTCTTCTACACTTTTACCTCTACGTTCCGAATACTACTTAGAGTATAAGGTTCGTGTTTATCTTCGGTGGTGAGTTCTACTTTAAGTTAGTCTTGTTCATTATTTACTTGCGGGTTCGTCGTTCGTCCTTGTGACGAATACTCTAGTAAAGGGCCCTGATAAAGATGGATAACCCTGATCGATGCTAGAGTAGTAGTCGATAGCGTAGATGTGGTGTCTAGGCTAGAGGCTACCTTCGTTTGCCTCGTACCCTACGGTTGAGGGGTAGGCGACAGGTGGTGACAACCCTGTCCGTCCCTCATAATCCCCCATGTTCGGGTACGGCGTAGAGCCGTAGGCCAGGATCGCCTGTCGGACTAGGTGTGCTCCGGTGCCCGAAGTAAGTATATAGTGGCAAAGCTATCTTAACTTAGGATCTCTATACCTAGAAAACCTCGCTACTCGACCTATCCTTCTTCTTGTTATCATTAGGTGAACTAGCTTAAGGGACTCTTACACCTCCGTTCCTCGTGGAAATACGATACACTGAATACTTCCGGGTGAAATGCTACAACGGTAATTTCATGCGCTTGCGGATTATTTCTATTTGCGTTTAGAAATACCAACATGCCCATGTACCCCTCCAGCTGCAAAGTTCTCTCATGGACTGGATGCGGAAAGAAAAGGAAACTCGTTACTAGAAAGAAAAGCAAAACCTGTGAGAAACATATAAGCATAGATATCCTCAAGGTAGCGTCTTAGTGTTAAATGCTTCAAATGCAAAAGCAAGAGGAGCGAAGCTATGAATAACATAAAGATCTTAATTTTACATTCTAATAGTCTTTATTGTTTATGTCTTTGTAAGGAAGCAGTGAAGTATGTATGTTCTACATCAGGAACTTATATATTGTTTGTATGTCATCAGCTGAGATATGCTAGGAATTACTCAATTACATTAGAATCATAATGCAGTGGATTTAGTGGAAGGAGAAAATATATAGTTAACTCTGTGCACTGCATCTATCTTTCTTTATTGCTATGTCTGTCGTTCCTTTCCTGTTGTTTTTGTTGTCTAATTTCCTTTTTCTTTGTTGGTTGTGCATGCTGCAATTGTTATGCTTTGAGTCTCCCTTCCCCTTCTACCATAATAATGTATAGTGCACTACATAAACAATTTTAGGAGACCAAAACTACCATCTCAATAGTTCACTAGAGACTTCACGCCCAACAAATGCCTTTGTATATCTATTTATAGAGGCGGATGGGTAAACAAGAATGCCCCAAAAATCGGCCCATTCTCAGAGGTGGACTTCCTTACCCAGCGTCGCTTTAAATATGAGAAAGTCCACAACCAGCCCATCCCAGTCGCATTAAACCTAGGCTAGGGTTCCACCAACGGCACCCCTACTCTATTCTCTCTTCCATTTCTATTTGTCTTCATCAAAGCCAGCGGTGACCCACCTCCGACCCTCTCCCTCCACTTATTTCGCTCCTTCACCTTGCACGCCCCCTTCCCTTCTATCTTAGCATCAAGCCATGTGGACCGGGTAAACATTACTTATCCTTGTCGTCCTGACCTTCCACACCCCTCACTATCAACAATTAATCCCTGGCCTGTAGTTTGATTTAATTTTAATATGCCTAGCCTAACCTAGTCCGATTAGCACATGCCATAAGTTTACTACAGAGACTAGTATATTTGCTTTATCAACAATAAATTGCTAGCAAAGGAAGTGGCACTTTCAAGGTGTAATCTTTCATGTGGAGAAGATGGAGACTTTTCTAACTTCTGAGTTCCTTGTGAAATGCTACTTTAATGAAAGGAGTCCATGTCACTTTGCTCTATAATCTGATAGTTATAGGACCACCCTCCTAATAATAATTTCTAACACAACTTAGGCCCTATTTGGATATAAACTTATTTAGTTTTGGAAAAACAATACAATTTTTCAAAATAATTTCATTTTGGAAAACAATGAGGTTCTTGGATTCAACAAATCTTAGCTTAATTTTTTGAAACTACGGTATTACAAAAATAATGTGTGTTTGAAATTTTAAAAACTCCATCCTAGCCTAGGGTTTTTTCTAAGCTGCGGCTTTTCACACCTGTGGATTCTAAAGCAACAGTCGCCATATATTGTGATATCAGTTCCTATATTTGTGGAAAAACAATCACCATATATGTAGGCTACCATATACAGATACATATATTTTGTGAAAAAACAGTCGCCATATACGTAGGCTACCATATATAGATACATATACCAGTTCCTATATATAGTGCCCACCATTCAATCCCTGGTGTGCAGTTTGATGCATCAGATGTAGTGTAGTCCATTTTCCTAACAACAATCTTGTCGGGGTTATAATACCCTGGGTATCTCAAGACACTGATTAGTTAGCCGCTCGGGCGGCCCACGGTACACCAGCTAGTATAAGCCCAAACGATCGAGGCCCAACTAAGCTATGTGGACCTAGGCTAAACACAAAGGCAGGGGTTGGCCACGACCTCTTCCCTGAGCCTTCACCGCGCGCCGCGTACCTCCTCACGACCTCTCCTCCGTCCCGACCTCTGGGAGGAACGGGGAGAGATCGAGCCTTGCCAAGCACGCCTGCTCTGACAAGAGCAGGCATGCCACACTGATTCCACAAGGACCGAGGGGACAGCAGTCCCCATAGCCCAGTCAGACACCATCCCTGCGCCACGCAGCGTAGACAAGACAACACCGCTGAGCGGTCATGGCCAGTATGTCGACCTACCATCCAAATACAGCCTGACGAGATAGATGTACAACTCCACCTACTACGGGATGGGGACCACGATGGCGGCCTTGAATTTTGAGGCCATCTAAGCCAACGATGGCCACGACTCGGAGCTCAGGATCGTGGCCACCGGCTCCACAAGCAGCAAGACGACCAACGACCTGGGGGCGGCTACCAACTCCTGTACAACGCCCCTGGGAGATCAGGAGGCGACTCTCATAAGGGTCAACAAAGCTTGACAAAACTCAATGCAAAAGCAAGTAGCATATATATGAAAGTTTTTCCTAGCCTAAATAAAATGTATGGCTCTGGTGGGAATTCAAGCTTTGTCATACAGGAACTCATCATGTAGCATTTTTATGTTTTTCAAAAGATAAATCTCCAAAACTTAAGTGTCACTTGGAACAAGATAAACAACAGCTCAGACCATCTCATATCATATCCGTCAATTACCTTGACTTAGATCAAGCATATGCCACCCACGAGTTTTAAGTTCAGAGTAAATCCTTATATCAAAACAATTTTGTCCAAAACTCGGGAGAATTCAAGGCTAAAAACTAGGTACTTGAAAGGAATTACAACAGAGCAACTATTCATCATTTCTATTTTCAGAGATCATTGAGAGTCCTCTTTATTTTATTCAGCTCTTAAAAACAAATTAAAGCAAACAAGACACACATTTTTATTTTGTTTTTCATTCATCATTCTTTTAACTATTAAAAGAAACTAAAACTAAAACAAAAGGGGAAAGAATACTTACCTAGATACACGGGAGTACTTCTTCCCCAAGCTTGCTCTTTCGGTGAGGGTTAGATGTTGTAAGTCCTTCGGACTGCTCCTTGTGAAGTACATTGACCAAATACCTTGGTCTGCTCTGAAGTTGAGAATTCTTGTGATGACGCATTTAATGGTGATGTCACCTCCTTCCGCCAAACCTGTCTTGGTGTTAAGTTTTGATTTTGGTTTGACAGGTTCAGAACTTTCACTTGTAGAAATTTGGAGAATCACTGACTCTCCCATACTTTGCTTGAAGTGTGTCCTGCTCATAAAGACAAGGTAGAGATCAAGCGCATGGGCTCTATTGGTGGAAAAACACCAACAGAACTAAAACTTTATTCATTCTTCTCTAGCCTTAGGCACATGGAACAAAATGAAGTTGATGTTATGCGCTTTGTTCAATTATATCATGGGTGATAAGATCAGAAGATTGAACATGAATGTAGCATTTAAGTACATTTGGCCAAAAGGTTGAGTTTCTTAACCTATG